TTTCCGATCAAATGGGACGAGAATCAACCTGATGAGTATCCTCCCGAGCTAGAACAAGCTGAGGTGGACGAAACAGATCTGTTGCCTCTTGAAGATGTTGAAGACGAAGAGGAGAAACAGGAAGAAGAGGTAATGAGCATTTTTATTCTAGGGAATTTTCTATGAAAATCAATTTTTGAAGGAAGAAGCTGAGGGCAACATTGAAGGCGATGTTGATTTGGAACAAAGCATGGATAACGATGAGGGGAAAGATGAAGAAGAAGAAGAGAAGGTAGAGGAAGAAGAAGGCGACAAGGTAGAAGAAGGAGACGAGGAACAGGACAAGCCCTCAGGTGAGTATCTACATGCTAATTCAGTCCTAATTGTTCTTGATATTGCTATTTCAGACGATGTACACATGTCTGAAGAAACATCGGAAACATCTGGCAATACTTCAGCCACTGAAAATGTTGTCGAAAGTGATTCCTTAAGCAGAGACGGCAAGGCTGAAGTGAAGGAAGCTGGCGATGCTCCATTTTCTGACGTAACTAATGACTCACAAGTAGCTCAGTAAGCTCGCTCCGTATTATGTTTTGCGATTCCGGTCATACGCGATACGGTCTTTCTTTCTGGTTTTTTCTTCGCCGTCGAATATTTCACTTAATCTTTCTTCATCAAAAACATCCCATATTCTTACCTCGTCTGATGTTTATTGGCGAATTTGTGCTTTTTACCTTTGAGATTGCACCAGGTTTTCAGTTTTGATTTTATTAGTTACCTTGCATTTATGAAAACATATGCTTCTTCGAATCATGTTTTTTCTATGTATTCTATGTGTAAAGTCAGTATTTGGCTCGGTACTCGGTTTTGTGTTGCTAGTAAAGATCTCAACATTTTTCAAAATTACTTTATGAGAAGAGTTCTCTTATCTCAGAGGTTATTGGATTGCGTTTGCTAACAGGTAGATTTGTCTAATTCTATACGGAAGCTCTCTGTCATGCCTCGGTTATGTTTGATGTGTTTTTGAAACACCTGGCCGTAAT